TCATACACATGTATTAATCCGATCTTTGGGATTTAGAGTCAGCAAAGTTTTCTTGTGGTGGAGAAAATTGGTTCATCCTTCTTAGTGTCATGACTTAAATTACAAACAGTAATAAAGAAGGCAGCATAGTACTGCAATAAAGATAGACTAATGCATAGTATAGAATACACCCTGACATTCTGCTGTGCTGTGTTTTAAGTGTCCAGAAAAATCTATAAGGGTAGGGTAGCTTTCAACCAGTGCTCCTAGAACAACAAACAAAACAAAAGGAACTCCTGCTGTACATATAGAAGTTACCTAAAGATGTGAAGATAAGAGGTAAACAATATGAAAAACTCTCAGAAGAAACCAGGTGTTGATGTCTTTATAACTTTGAGTTATACAAAATAATTTATCAGATTGATACTCAAAGCATGAGCAAAAAACTAAATGTTTGTAAGTTGGGTTTCACCAAAATTGAAAACTTTCAAGGCTAAAATGACAAGCCAGTGTATGGAAGAGCTACTTGCAAATCATATTGCTGGTAAAAGGCTCATATCCAGACTTATTGAAGAACTTTTACAACTCAACAATAATAAAAAAAAAATTAAATATGGATACATACATATACATTTTTTTAGATTCACAAGTTGCCAGCAAGAACATGAAAAGACACTTGATGTCACTAGTCATTCAGAATAGTCACAGTGAGATACCATGTGGTAAAGAGGAAATTAGAAACAGGTATTTTTGGGAATGTGTAGCACCTGGAAATGTCTGTTGTTAACGATAGCTGTTCAACACAAAGGCATGTGAGCTCCACTCTCCTAAAGCTTCTCTGTTAGTTACTAGGCAGTATGTAAGTAAAATCACAATAATGTAGGAAAACGATACAGAATTTGCTGGATATACGAAAAGGGCTCTCTGAACCAATCTGGGTCTGCACAGATATGAGATTATTTTGCCTTGAGACCTTTTTTTATGGTTTGAATCTTAAGTGCTTCCTAGTCTCATGTACTGAGGTTTGTTGGCCAGTCTGTAGCACTATTGAGAGGTAGGAGAACCTTTTGGAGTCTAGTAGAAGGAAGTTAGTTTGTTGTGAAGAATGTTGGGGCTCCCACCCCTTCTTGTCTGTCTCTCCATTTGCTTCCCAGCCAGCATTAGGAGAGCACCCTCCTCTGCTTTTCTTCCTGTCACGAAATGGACTTCTTCACTACAGGCTCATCCTGACCTGGCTAAACATCATCTGAAACCTTGAGACTGTGAATAAAGTAAATCCTCCATTAAGGTGGCTGCCTTGGGCGTTTTGTCATTACAAGGAGTACAACATATATAAAAACTCTACTGAGACAGCACTGTCATACTCAGGAAACGGGGGAAGGCTGGTACCTGGGGTGCAGAGCTGAGAAAGGAGTATAGGCTGAAGTGAGTCAGGAGCATACCAGGAAAACCCAGAGAAGACTAAGAGTGTCCAGTTTTCTCATCAAATGATGCAACTTGTGCCAGGAGGGCCTCAATGGAGAAGAGAAAACATGGACATCAGAGGGGCTTTTAGGAGACAGAACCAATACAATTTGAAGAACTTCAAGACCGGGAAGGGGAGGGAGAGTGAGGCACAGCTCCCAGATGTGGGCTTTTGAAAATGAAAATGTTGGAGTAAGTTAGAAAATTTTCCTTGCAATACTCATTGTTTGAACCACCTCAGGAAACATGGCTGCTTTCCTTCTTCTGAGAAATATCATTTTCTTACTGTGCTAGTCACACATAGAGAATTGTGCAGTTTACTGAGAGCAAGGATTATTGGAAAAGTACAAATTTAAGGAAATTTGGCAAGTAGGTTTTATAATGTTGGCCAGATTAATTTTGCTCTGAGTCCTGTCCTGGTAAGAACCTCAGTGTCTTATGTCCGTCGCCCAGTGCTGTGGAGATCATCTGTCATGTAAGTTTCCTCATGTTTCTGTAAGTAATGAAGGCAGACTGAAGTAATTGTCTGGCACATAGCTGCCTTCCACTGACAGCTCTTTGGAATAATTTCACTTTTAGCCATTTCTTATTTCCTTAGCCAGCCAAAGTCCTCAAATATCAAGTTCTTCACTGTTTTTATTCTGAAGTTATTTGGAAGTTACAGTCTTTCATTATAACTTCTAAAAGCCACTTTTGCAATTTAACACTATGCTGAAATAAATTTTAAGTATTTAAGTAATTTTAATAACCGCAACTTTTTTCAAATGCCCATTAAAGAATCCATTATTCTGCACATTGTTGGATTTGGGACAGCAGTCTTCAGAGCCAACAAAGTGGTAGAATTGAGAACATCATGCACATCAGCAGTTAGGTTCACTGATGCTGTGGCTGTGAACAGCCTTATTGCTAGCATACCAGTAAGGGACAAATACTGTAGGCGTGTAAATGCTCTCTACACACAGCAACGCTGGAAGGAAATTTAAATAAGAAAGCTCAGAAATCATTTAGAGACAGCAGAAATGACCTGCCTCTTTGTTACCCTTTTCCTAGGACATTTTCTCCAACATTTACTCCAGTGATTAGCACACAGGAAGGAATAGGGCGGGCCTTGGTGCCCAGTCTTTCCTTGAGAATACTAATCATCTCTATCTGACCCCTTCAGGTTCTGTTACTGTCCAGAAAGTCTCAGTAAAGCTTAGCTGTGTATTATTAAACATGAAGTGTATCACATCGTTTAATCTATGGTGCATTCTAATATCTGAAAATTGTCACATGAAATGGAAACTTTAAAAGAAAAGAATAGATGATGAAAACAGTGTACCTGTCAGGACAAAACATGATACCTGTCCATTTACTCACTGTGTGAGCTTAGATTTCTTCATATGTAAAATAGAGATCATAAAAATAATCATCCCATGGCTGTGATGAAGATTAAGCTAACACATGCTGAGATTGCTGCTTGTTACATTTAAGTTCATATTCATGTTATTTTTCTGCTTCAGTTATTACACTGCTTGTATAGCTTACTCCTGCCTGTGCGTGATTATGTAGTTCCCTCCTAGTGGCAGTAGCAGGCTTCCTCCCTTGTGGGCTTGTGGTTAAGATAGCATTAAAGAGGTTGCATAGCTACTAAGTCAGTGGTTCTTAACTTTCCTAGTGCTCTGATTCTTTAATGCAGTTCCATGTTGCGGTGACTTCCAATCATAAAATTATTTCACTGCTACTTCATAACTGTAATTTTATTACTGATATGAATTATGAATATCTTAAATGCAAGATATCTGATATGTGATCCCCAAAAGGGTCACACAGATTGAGAACTTCTGTACTAAGTTGTAGGAATCAGTTGTATGTACTAAGCCATCGACATAGAAAATCACCCTGGAATTCACAGGCTACCTTGGGCCTGGTTTTGTGAGGCTTGCAGACTAAGAATATGAAGTTGTTTGTTTGGGTTTTATGTTTCTTTCTCTTTTTTTTTTTCTTTTTCTCTTCAGACAGCTTTTAAATATGTCTCCCTGACTAACTTAGAATGTTTTGTATAGGCTAGGCTGACCTGAAACTCAGAATTTTACATTTCTACTTTATTAGGGTAGGAAGAATCCTAAAAGACTATCCTGGTACAAAAGAAAATTAGATAATTCAGGTTCAGTGCTCAGAAGAAGTTTTGGGAAATTTTGTAGATACACTTTATGTTGTTTTAGTCACGGAAATTGTGAGGAACAGTAGACCTCGGAGCCACAAAACTGATAATACTTCCTTTCAGACTTTACAGAAGTTTCCCACACTTGCTTTGTGTGGTCATTGATAGTGTTGACTAACTGATGTTTAACCTGCTTTGACAAAAAATGGACACTTGATAAGAAGCCTATTATTTTCATCAGCCATTTTTTTTTGTGATCGTAAAATGTCTATTCTAGTCAAGTGATGGTGATTCACAACTTTAATTGCAGCACTTGGAAATCAGAGGCAGGCAGATCTCTGAGTTTGAGACCAGCCTGATCTATGGAGCTACACAAAGAAACCCTATCTTGGAAAAAAAAATTCTATTCAGTTTTGTCGAGTATGTTTCTATGTGTGGGTATATACACATAAATGTGTTTACCGTGAGGAGTCAGAAGCACTGGATCCCCAACTGTTGGAGTTATATAGGCAGTTATGAGTGGCCAAATGAGGATGCTAAGAATCAAACTTGGTCCTCTACCAAAGCAGCTAGTGCTCTTAAACACTGAGCCATCTCTCTCACCCCAGGAACCTTTTATTTTGTTGTGATTTAGAAAAAGTATAACTTAGCCGGGTGGTGGTGGCGCACACCTTTAATCCCAGCACTTGGGAGGTAGAGGCAGGCGGATTTCTGAGTTCGAGGCCAGCCTGTTCTACAGAGTGAGTTCCAGGACAGCCAGGGCTATACAGAGAAACCCTGTCTTGAAAAGCCAAAAAAGGAAGAAAAGAAAAAGTATAACATTTTATCTTGTTTAAGTTTGTCTTAAAGCTAGAGTACAAGTTCATGGATAAATTAATACAGTTGTACAAAATATAATGAAATTATATTTTCATTAGTGAATGTTAAAATTTGGCTTCCTCTCATTAATTATCAGGAGCAAAAGCTGATGTGTGAGTCTATGTCTGTGTGTTTAAAAAAAAATCTGTGTATATTTGTATCTCTCTGTGTGTTAAAGAAATTCAATAAAGTGGTTTTTTTTAATTTATGATGAGTTTTGAAGCAATCTATCAATAATTTTTTTCAGTAGTAACATGCCTTTAGAGTATAATAGTATATATAGTACTATAATCCTATTTGTTAAAGGGTTTGCCTTTGGGACCCAAGTTTATTTTTAAGTGGCTAGAGGTGGAGGCTTTGGGCAGTGTGCTTAGAAAGCATATACTTTAATTTTGTCATACCAGTCAGTCATTTGGGCAAATAATCTTTGCTTCTGTCCTCATCCTCTGTTTTAACTCTATGGACTTTTTTTGTATTTGTTTGATTATGTAACCTTTATAAGTGGAAGTATTTTGTCCTAGAATATCTGTAAAATATTATATCTCCTTTTGTTTAGGTTTATATGCTTTAAAGACAATTTGCCAAATGTATTTGAAAGATGATTCGCCAAGGCCCTTGAAGTAATGGGATCGAGACAGATGTGTACCCTGCCCATGTAGAGTGTTGAATCTGTTGCAGAAGACAGACATTAAATTCCATCAGTATAAGGATGATCTGTACTGGGAGGCGAGAACTAAGTTGTACAAGAGCAACCTAGCGTCTCAGGACTTCTGCTCATCTGGGTGAGTCCCCATACTTGTCACTTTAGGTTACTTTTCTTTTGACTTTTGTACTGACATTTTAATTAATCTGTTAATAAACAGATTATTTTCAGTTTGGAAAAAGTAGAAAGACAAAAAATTGATGAACTTACATATAATGTCATTTTAATAGAACTACAATCTAAATTTCTCTGATTTTGCATAGTTGATTTTTCTAGAAAAGTATTGAGTATAATAAAATTGTAAAATTAGAATAAAAGCACAAGCCGGGCGGTGGTGGTGCACGCCTTTAATCCCAGCACTCGGGAGGCAGAGGCAGGCGGATTTCTGAGTTCGAGGCCAGCCTGGTCTACAGAGTGAGTTCCAGGACAGCCCGGGCTATACAGAGAAACCCTGTCTCGAAAAACCAAAAAAAAAAAAGAATAAAAGCACAAAAAATTGTAAATACTCAGTTTACTTTACTTGAAAATCAAAATAAGTATTTGCACATGAATAGAAAAGTATCTTGAACTAGCTCTTAGCTTTCTGTCTCTTACAATAGTTACTGACTGTCTTTAGTAAAAAGAAGATGGCTGTACATAGAGTGTTCTTGCACAAATCTGAACACATGTGGTATATGGCAGTCTACTGCCCCTAGGCTACAATCCCATCACGCATGTCACCTAACTGGACACTGCAAACATTTAACACAGTGCCGTGTGCATATCTGCATTTGGAAACAGTACAGGAGACATGAAGGTAGCATATTTATCTAGGGCAGCCACTTGAGTGGAACTTACAGAGATGACCTTAAGGTGTTCCTGGTCAGCAAGAGAATGGAGCATAAGAAGACCTACCCTGAGTGTCTCCTCTGGTTAGTTCTGCTCTATGGAGAAAGCCAATTTACTTTTTAAATTTTATTTCTTACTTTATTTCTTTATTCCAATTAATTTATTAATTTACTGGTACTCTATTACTTCATAAAATGTTTAAGTTTTTTACATGTTATTTATTTCTGGGGACAAAGCTGGCACTTACATGCCATGGCACAGATATAAAAGTCAAAGGACATCTAACAGGAATTGCTTCTCCTTCCGCCATGTGGACCACAGGGACTAGTCTCTAGTCATGAGGCTTAGCTGCAGGCACTTGCTGAGCCATCTCACTGACCTTCTAGAAGTTTAGTCATTTATGAAAACTGTGTAAAGCACAAGGAGATTCATTAATACAGCTAAACAAAACTATTTTAATATTTTTCAATAAGCCTTTTAATTTTGTAAGTCTTTTTACTTAACTTTTGTGTTAAGCTAAGACAAACACCTACACACACACACACACACACACACACACACACACACACACACTAGCCTAGACCTACATAGGATCAAGTTCTTCCAGAGTAGTCTTCTACTTGTACACTCTGTCTCTCTGGAAGGTCTTCAAGGATAATGACATACATAGAGTTGTCACTCCAATGATAACAGTATCTTCTGGGATCTTTCCATAAAGAGCTGGCCAAGAGTTCTGTGAAAGTAACTTTTTTTTTTTTTTTTTTAGTAAGTAGAAGGAATACATTCTGAAATAGCCACAATAACCCAGTAATGTCAAGATTGGCTGTCACTACCAAGTCCTAGACATTGCATGACTATATGTGTTGTCTCTACATGACATGAGCAGATTTCTCTACACCAGCTCTGTATACTGCAGACTTCGTGCTGTGATTTTTCTGGTTGAAAGAACATTTTCAGCTCATGATAGTGATGGAACCTGTGGTGGTTCTTCTGATGGGGTCAAGGATATCTAAGATATTAGTAAGGCAAACTTCTGAGTGTGTCTGTGAGGGATTTCCAGAGACTTACATGTCATGAGTTCTTGACCTCATGTATGATAATTTCTTTATATATCATATAGTGACACTATTGGGAGGAGAGCTACATGGAAATTGGTCACTGGGATTTATCCCTAAGTAGTAATATATCTTGTCCTGCCTCCTTTCTGTATTATTTTCTTCTGTTTTCCGGGACATTATATTGCACACTTCTCAGCTCTACCATCCACTCCCCACAGTGAAACAGTGATACTTTTTGAAACCAGAGCCAATGATTCATCTACCATAATACAGAAGCTTACTGACAGAACTGGCCAAGGGTATGGGCTGCTGTTATCCAAATGCTATCATGTAGGACATGATTATGTGTATTATGTATTTAGACTTGAAAACTAGTAATGCACAGAGAGAGAACATAACACATAGTTGCATATGGTAGAAAGAGAAAAAGAGGAAGCACAGTGAGCCTAAGCCTTGCAAGCCATCTTTAATGCTGACCTAGCATTTCAGCAAATGTGACTGTTTTTCTCTCTCACCTAGTTGGATTAGAGTTTCCCTAGTATCCCACAACCTTCTTAAGATTATTTCATGATGTCTTTCCCTGCCAGTTCTTACTGAGTACTGTTGAAAGTGATAAGTTGTATGTCTGAGATCGACCTTTGAGAGGTTTCCAGAAGTGTATTAAGTGGAAATTGTACTCCCTCTGAAGTATACCTCCAAGCATTCTTCCCCAGTTCCCACTTTATTGTTGTTTCTACTTTTGAAGCTATCTTTTTGTTTTAAAAGGCTTTTCTTAAACTCAGATTAACTTTCCCATCTAGCCAATTCATAGAGAAAAAAAAAAAACAGTGTTTAGTCAATGCATAGTGGCAGTCAATTGAGTTTTACAATGTTGACACTTGAGGTTGGATACTAAAATCAAAAGAGATTCAAACCACTAATTGTATTTACGTTTCAAATTTAGACAGGACTATCACTAGGTAAACCATTTTCTCCATATTTTAGATCCTTAAGCTATAACTCAAATGTTTCAGGAGAAACCTCAAACCATCCTATGGACTCCCTTTTTTCTCCTATTTGCTGCTCCCGCTATGGTGGCGTTTGTGCACACCTGGTATTGGAGAGCACACCTGGTATAGGAATCAGTGGCCTTGCTGCTTTAATCACAAAGAGAATTTGAGGATTCTGATTTTTATGATGGTACAGTTTAGTTGAATTGTTTGAATCTGATGTTGCCCAGAGCCTGCTGTGTGAGTTTATCTGGGTAATAGTAGAATGGGTACTAGGGATTTCATCTGGAGCCTGTAACTGATATTATTTGTTTATTAAAGCACTTTCTCTAACTTGAATCTCCTGTCCACTGCTAACATTACCTTGAAGGTGCCAGCTTTTCTGGTAAGCTCTCTAGAGAAGTGCAGTGATATGTGTCTCAGAAGTAAAGGAACGGGCTGGAGAGAAGGCTCAGCAGTTAAGAGCACTTAGCTCTTAACTGCCCTTCCAGAGGTCCTGAGTTCAATTCTCAGCAACCACTTGGTGGCTCACAACTATCTATAATGGGATCTGATGCCCCCTTCTGATGTGTCTGAAGACAGTGACAATGTACTCACATATATAAAAATAAATAAATCTTAAAAAAAAACAGTAAACAAAACAAAAAGGAAAGAAACCAGATCCAACACAATGACTAGAGAGCCACTGTTGGTAGGCAAGACCTAAAGAGCCCTTAGTTGGTACTTTCTGTTTATAGTTACTACTTTTGAGTTAAATATTTTCCTCAAAAATGCAGAAGTACAGCAATAAACAAAAATTAGCATATGCTATATCAAAAGCCATTCCAGTGTCATTGATGAGTAAGATCAAGCACATTATATTCATATGAAAATGTCACAGTGAAACTTACTTGGATGCAACAGATGGCGCTTTAGTAGAATGCTTGCATGGCGTACATGAAACCTTGAGTTTGATCCCCAGCCCACATAAATCCAGTGTGATGGTGCCTGTATCACCAACACTCAGAAGTTTGAGGGCCTCATCTGCTACATAGTGAGTTTAAGGTCACACTGGGCTATAGGATAGCTGTCCACACACCCCACAAAAAACCAACAAAGTATTGTTTTCTACAATTAATTCATGCTCACAAAAATGATTAACATTGTAAAATTTATTAAGTTTTATTCTTATGTAGACACATATCTATTATAAGTGTGAGACTGTGTAAGGGTATCCTGGTTCATGGTTGGGCATGGGCCTAGAACCCCGAGACTCTACGTGAGAACCGGCAGGAGTTCGGTGCGCCCCCAGAACCCAGGGTCTTGAAAAGCAGTCTAGTCTCCATAAAACTACATTGCTGAGTCACGTAGGCCATTACAGCCCCTCCCAAAGTGCACAGGTAGAGGGTGTGACTAGAGGCCTCAGGCCCTAGGGATTTACATACTAATGAAGGCCAGAGGGTGGAGCAAATTAAGCGTGCCTCCCCAGATCCTCCCCCAGTCCTTCCCCTTTCTCCCTCCCTATATAACTCAAGACTACCCTGAGTTTTACGGGGGTACACCCAGATCCATCTACCATCCGCCATGACAATAAACCTTATAGAACCAAGGACTTCCTCGTGTCATTGGGGCCTGCCACCGCCAATGCCTCCAGCCGCTGGAACCTTAGACCTCCTCGTGTATGTGGGACCCGCCAGTGTGGAAACCCACTGGGATTCCACCACAGCGGCCTTATATTTTTCCCCATATTTGGCGCGCAAAGTGGGGCACAGATACCCACAGACTTCAAGAACCAGGCCGCCCCAGTTTGCTACAGAACGCAGCTGAGCTTCCTGTCCTGCTTGTCCGGTGCTGTGAGGAATCAACTCAGTGAAGATTCCGTGCTTCACCCCTGCTGCAGCTGCTTACTCTCTCACCTGGAGGACCTCTGCATTCCAGACATGAGGACTCACATCTTCAAGCAAGTACAGTAACCAGATCCCTCCCACGGGTGCTGCTAGGGCCTCTTTCTTCTCCCCCCTCCTTTGTTTCTCTCGGCTGTGGGTTGTCCGGTCACATGCCCACGTGCCCCGATCTCAGTCCTTCGGTGGCCTCTCAGCTGTCTGAGAGCCCAAGAGCTTGAGACCAGTCAGTCTCTGGCCAACTTCTGGCCTGGGGATCCCCAATCCAAGAGCTCTGCACCCTGGTGGAACCAGACTGAGAGTTCCCCATTCCCAGTGGGGCCC